TATAATGTCGCAGAGAAAACGAAGGTGACGTCGCCTATATATATATATATATATATAAACCATTTTCGCCGCGATGTCACCTCTCTTCTGCCCGTGACACCGAGGACTCTTCTCCCACGCGGATGAGAAGTCGCTGAGAGACGAGGAGGGAGATCGACGATCTCCAGGTTCTCCTCTTCTTCTCCCTCTTCTTTCTTCCCCTTCTCCCTCTTCTTTCTTCTCTTCTTTCTTCTCCCTCAGTTCCCAATCGACAATACCGCCCGGTAGCGAGCGGTTCGTGTACCGGTCTGCTGACGAACCAATACGTATCGCTCGATATTATTCGAAATTAAAAATCTTTATATATATATATATATATATATATATATACTGAGCGGTATATCGAAATGTATGCTCGGTATATAGCTGTACCATACCGAGCGAATCTTGAAACTTCGATACGGTATAAAATTTCAATCCTTGCCATGAACCTTCAATATCCAAGACTGACACCAATTTACAACCTCTAAGAAGGGCCGACAGAATGCTTGGTGATAGTGAGCATACCATTAGCCACTTAATGAACTAGGACATGATTCGTTTAATAGTTGGAAGTTCTTGGACAGTGGACACTGCTCATAAAATCATACTCTGATTCTTAAATTTAGTTAAACAGTACACAGAGGAAAAGAGGTCATGCTTGCATATACCACTTTTAATTAAAAAAACACCATGGATTTACCTCTTTCAATCCAAGTATTATTTCAGTGAGAAAAGAGCTGATGATGTTCCTCCTTTTATGATCAAATGAATCCTGTAAACAAAGTAATGGTACTTCTTTAAGTAGGCATCTTCAACTCATATTCTAAACAGAAACCAGTTGACAGCATCCACAAGAATCATCATGCATTTCTAATCAGTACGTGCAGCCCATAGAGAATACATCACAAACCTTGGACATTGAGACAATTAAAATGTATAAACAATCAAGTCTTTGACGATTAGCTGCAAAGTGGCAAGATGATAGTGACGCAATCATCAACTCAAGTAGTTCATCCAGATTATTCCAAAGATTGTGACCATGTTCCTGAAAAGTAAGCACATTGATATCAGCAAATAACAGCGAAAAGCAGATAGTAACCTGCCAAGTCCTACAATTTTCTAACAAACCTAAAAACACTAAAAGTATTACCATACCTTCAGTATGATTGAGAGGATTTTATATGCTTTTTTTTGTAAGATTCCTTCTTCATCCTACAATAAATAAGAACATATATAGAATCCCTAAAGTTTGAAAAGATTAAACAAAACAATTGCTAAAACTACCATGCACCTGTAAAGCAGGCTTAATAACACTGAATAAGAAATCAATTTCCTTAACACCTAGACCAGGAAGAAGTGAAACGGCCAATTCCAATAAGAGGGCCCTGCAATCAGGTAAGAGTGTTCAAGGTCCACTTAATACACAAGCTAATAAAGACACTAAAGAAAATTCAATGAAACGAGATAATTAACACCAAAAACCAGAAAGGTCAACAAAAAAAAAGAATGCAAACACAATAACCACCTTGCATGGGAAAGGGATGCTTCATTGGATGCACCATCTATTAGCATGGTACCAGAACCATTAGGCTGCTTAGCTTTAACAGCTTCCTGTGTAACCTTCAACAATTTATGCATGGCTCCCATAAAGACTTTCTTCACTACCTTGTTATCAGCTATATTTGCAAAATCATGGATGGTGGCCTTAGAAAAAAGAAAGAAAAGCTTGTGACTTAATTTTCCAACGCAACCAAAAGACAAGCAAAACAGTGAACTTCACTACAAAAAGAATCATTCTGAAAGTGGCAGATAATGCAGTCCTTTCACTTCAAAGTTGCAAATAAAAGGAGTTGGACTTAAAAGTGTCCTCAGATAAAGAGGGAAAATTGTTTGTGATAACATCAGGTCACTGTAGCACTCAGAGCAATTAGCATCTACAGCAACTTATAGATGCTAAAAAGCAGTGGAAACAAAGACTGCGATCATTCCAAACTTTATGAGATCACATCTAAAATATGCATAAAATTTATAGAATCTTGGGTTAGAACAATTGAAGGATGTTACCATAAGCAGTTAAAGGAAAAAAATATGAACAACTTCAAGAACCTGAACCAGATTAAACATTTGTTCTGAAGCAGCTAAATACCTGCAAGTAACCACCACTATCGTGCGAAGATGTCAGGAATGCCTCTGATAAAACTGAAAAAAATTCTGGAGCAAATGAGTGTATTGTCTTCAGATTTTCTTCTGACTGCCTTCTACTATAATGATTCCTTATTTTACCATCGGGTACAGTAGATTTATCAGAGATTATGTCACTATTTTGACGAATCAAAATCTACAAAGTAGAAAACAATGAAAGTGAAATAAGAAGCTGAAGCAGTATATACTTTATTTAAGAAAGAACAGGGATTACAAAAATCAGAGTTGCAAAACATATACCTGTAGACTAGAGCATATTATCCCACGCAAGTCGGGTTCCTCACGTAGTGCATTGCACAACTCTTTCTGAATAGCATTAAAGCCACAGTCAATATCAATAGGGTAGTTGCAAAAGGCAGGCAACAAGGACCACAATGTGTATACGAGACCTTCAGTGCTCCTAGCTGAGAAAATCCATCCCTCTGTCTCAAGCTATTACACAATCAAGTGTCAGAATCCGTAAAAATTAATAATAATTAAGCAGGAAATGGTCAATTATTTTGTTTGGGGGGGAGGCCTACCTTAAGGGATTTTTGCTTTATGTGTTTAACCATCACCAATATGTGTTCCAAGAAAAAACTTAGACGAGCACCAACCACATGTTGCTTTAATATTGGAAGTAACCAAACATTAGCATCTGAGACATCTTCCACATCCAAGTTGAGTGGCAGGATGTGTAGAAATTTCTCAGGCCCCATTGCACTAATAGCTGACCCAAGACATTCATGAAGCTGCAAGTTAACAATGAATTAACTGAGAAACAAAAATGACAGATCACAAGCATCAATTTAGGCCAGCTTACCAATAATTCCAATTGAATAGAATAATCATTTCAATCCTTAAAAATATCTTGTGAAATTAACAAGAAAAAAGAAAAGCATTGCAAAGGAAAGTATCTATCTATCTCTAGTCCCATACAGACAAGAAGCCAACTACTACTAGACTAAGAATTTAACCTTCAGAATACAAATGACTTTAGCAACAAGCAAGGCTCTAAAATACTAAAAGATTAATTAGATAAACAAAAATCATGGATAAAATGAGAAATATCAAAAATTACTACAACAACAACAAAGCCATAAATTCTAACTGTTTGGGATCAGCTACATGGATCTTTTGTCACCAATTGAGATATGTAAAAAGCCATCATATGTTTAGTTAAGTTTAGAGTACTTTAATCTTTATTTATAATTTCAATGTTAATCCTTTTAGGTCTTCATCTATCTCTCCTTGTACCACTAATATTAATCATTTCACCTTTTCTAACTATCACATCAGTAGGTCTCCTAAACACATATTCATACCATCTTAAATGATTCTCCCTTATCTTATCAAAATCATAACTAATTATTCATGAATAAAAATATATTTTTTTCAATCTTTCATAATAACTCCACACATCCATCTCAACAACGTAAACTTTTTATATAAGTTGTTCTTAACTATCCAACACTTAGATCTATAAAGAATTATTGGTCTCACAAAGTCACAACTATCTTTTTATTTTTTCCTTTTAATATCAATGGTATCCAATGATCACATAAGATTCCTGACACCCCTGGCTATTTTAATCATCCTGTTTTTATTCTATGAATAATATATTTATCGATCTCTCCATCTTGTTGAATAATTGATCTAAGATACCTAAAGCTTTTACTTAAAAGAACTTATTGTCTATCCAACCTAACTATAATATCCTATCTATACCTAGTATTACTAAAATTGCATCTCATATATTTGGTTTGTCTACTTAATCTAAAACTTTTAATTTCTAAGGATTTGCCTCCATGGCTCAAGTTTATAATTAATTCCACTTAGGCTCTAATTAATTAACTATAATCTCCTATCTATTATGTAAATGACTTGTAAATTCATCCATTATCAATGTGAAAAGGTAAGGACCTAATGCGGATCCTTGATGTGATCATATGCTAATAGGAAACTCACTAAACACACTTTGTATAGTTATAACACTAGTAATTACATTATCATACATATTTTTAATACTATCAAGTATCAATATAATTAGTGGATACACCTTTCTTTTTTAAAACCCATCATAATAAATCTCTAAGAAATCTATCATAGGCTTTTTCTAAGTCAATAAAAATCATATATAAATCTTACTTTTTCTTCTAATACTTTTTCATTAATTGTTTGAATAAATAAATAGATTCCATAATTGATCTTCCATACATAAAACCAAATTGATTTCTAGATATATTTGTTTCAAACCTTATCCTAATTTTGATAACTTTTTTCTCAAAGCTTCATAATATGACTCATGTTTTAATTTCTCCAATAATTTAAACAATTTTGTATGCCATATTTTTTCTTGTAAATTGGTACTAAAAAACTCTTTCTTTATTTATCAGACATCTTTTTGAATTTCATAATTTTGTTAAATAAACTACTTAACTAAGCTACTCCCTTGTCCCTTTAACTTTTTCAGACATTAATAAGGACACTATAGATCCCACACTCTTAGTTATTTTTATCTCCTTTAATGTGTCTTTTACTTCATTAACTTTAATTTTACCAACAAATCTATAATTATTAGATCTACCACTATTGTATATCATTAAAGCTAAGTCCTATGTGGAATATTCATTAAATAGTTTACAAAAAAATTCTTCATGTTTCCTTAATTTCGTTACTATTAATAAGTATTCTTTAATCCTCATCTTTAACGCATCTAATATTGTCTAAATCCTTATACTTTCTTTCCCTAACTTTAGCAATTCGATACATATCATTTTCACCATCTTTAGTATCTAATGTATTATAAAAATTATCATAAACTTTATATCTTGCCATACTAACCACTCTTTTAAGCTTCTTTTTTATATTCTTTATATCTTTTAAATTTCTCCTCATTTTTACAATCTTGCCAATGTTTAAAACATGATCTTTTAGAAATATTAAAAACTATTTAACTAAAATTTTCATTTAAGATAAGTAAATGAATGAAAGAATGAAGACTTAACCAACTAATGAGGCAACATATACATATATTTAACCACTTTAGTAAGTTAATTTTCACTCATATAATAATTTCATCAGTAAATCAGGAAACAAGAAAAAAAATAAATAATGATGATAATGTGCATATTATTTTGGAAATCCCTTTCTAATGAGGCTTAGAAGGGTAGGAAGCATGTTAATGTCAACTAACATAATTTAGCCAACATATAAAAATTATTTCCACCAAATAGGCATACTGAAAACAAAGATAAGACCATCTTCTATAACACATCTCACTTTAACAGCGATAATATCAAATTATTAAGAAAGTTAAAACCAGATATTCTGCAGATAAAACAGTCAAATGTTGTTTATGATGAATTCCTGAGGTTGAAAAACAAAAATTCACCTGCTTTCTAAATGAAAAGTCCTCATCTGATAAGTTTTGCATATCTGCAAGGCTTTTAACAGCTCCAGCCATTAGATAATATGAAGATTCACCTGAATATTTCACATCAAGACCAGCAGATAACAAAATAGTGAATCAGTACCAACATAGGGACCACAAAATTTTAAACAAAAATAGGCTATAGAAATACTATGTCCAACTGATTATATGTGGTTTTATCCAACTTTAGCAATTTACCAAATGATCCAACAAACAAAATTATATTAAGGAACTACAAACTATGATATAGATGAAAAACACCACAATATAAATTCAAACTTAAGTTTCAACATCTTCCTACACCAAGTACAGATAAATTGCACTATTTTTACCTTAGTGCAGTAATGAGCAAACTTTGGACCAAATCACAGAGATAACTATGGCTTCTAATGATAGCAAAGCATCCTTGTGTATCACGAAAAATGTTTGCAAACCTTAACGAGTCATTAAATGAGTTCACAAGGTTGGCACTAGAGGCCATGCACAGAGCTATGAGAGTTTCCATTGTGGTCCCACAATGTAATTCTCCGTCCAGAAATTCCAAGACTTGGGTAAGAATGCTTTACTATGTAACAATGCTTAGTGTGCTCTGTATGCACTGAGCTTTCTTTGATGCAGTAGTGCTTTATTATGTAACATACCAGCAAAACACAGTGTTATCTTTTTTTTTTTTGTAAAACAAATCACAGAAAATCTTAAATAAAGTATTTTTTATCAGCAAAATACAGTGTTTCTTGTTGTCTGCTTCAATTAATGGGGACTATAAGCGAAAGAATAAGACACAGCAAAATCACTTCAAGCATAAACCAATGTGCCTTGAATGCAGAATGTTTGGATGCTTGCATATTCAACCATATAAAATTAAGTATGTAAGTGACTCCACAGATTTGTCTTCTCCAATTTTCCAGCAAATTAAAAAGTGCCTCCCACCGATTGATTTTAATTCATAGAAGTAGATCTGATAACTTCATGGTACTATCAAGTATCAACATGAACTTCATGGGTTTCGTAGATTCAAGAAGTTATTCTTGTCTGAATTACATACATGGTCTGTCATCTTTTAAGTTAAAACAGATTTTATTTCTCTTGCACAGTGAAAAAATCACCTACTCCTGGATAAGTTTAGAAGATTTCCAATTAGAAACATGATCAGGATGTCATTGTCCATATTCTACATATACAATTACAAAATTACCATTGTCCTACCACTGGTGTTACAGATGTGTGTACCATAAATGTGCATAGAAAAACAATCAAATGAGATAATTGAAATGCAAAAACACCTCACCAAACCATTAGAAAGAAGGATCCAGACATCCTGTTCAAATTAGTTGGATATGGTCTATTAACACAATCATGTAAAAGTATGAATGCAGTCAACACATATCACCAGATGTGTCACAGACAAAAAAACAGTTGCGCATTCATGTATCCGTAACTGGGAATGAGTCTGGTAAAACCTCATGTCCATGATAATACTCTATCAGCATGACATGATTAATGTCAGCACCCAAGCTTCATAGTTAATCACTCATAAAAATCATAATCTTATGTTAACAAACATGTTTATGTTTTAGACTGTTCTTCTTTAGATAAATGACACTAGTGACCCCCACAGCATTGCAATTATCAAACAAATTCAGCAACAAAGTTCTTTGTAAGCTTAACCAATCCAAAACTTTACCTAGTTGACTGAATGCTGTTGAAAGGACCTGGAATGACATGTCCCAAACAGCATTGTAGCGATAACCAAGGAAACCTTCAATGGTTGCACATATCTTCTCAATTACAGTAGGTCCAGACTTCCTTAGCTCTCCATCTGTAGTTTTGATTTGATCAACACCTTGCTCGATCAGGCTTTCATCAACGCAAGCACGTATTAAGCCCTTCAAGGCCTCTATAGCAGAAAACATGGCTTCCTCATGTTCACTGGCCAAAATATCTGTTACACAATAAAATTTGATAAAAGTTTATTTCTGTCCATTAAATTGTTTATCACAAATTTCAATTAAAAGCTGCAAAAGAAATACAAACCTCCAAGGGCATTAAATATAACAGGTAGTGTCACAATACATATTTGCTTGTTCAGATCATAAATCTTTCTTGTCCCGACATATAGCAAGCGTGCAGTTGATGCCATCTGGTCTGGTGACTTCTCATTATCAGAAACAGACAAAGCTAGTGAGCAAAATAAATTCTGTAATAATTCAGGAGAAAGTTCTACAGTTGGACTACTGCACAGAGCATGCAGAATCTCCATTATACACCTTGTCACAATCAACTGCTGCAGTTCCAACAATCTATTGCAGTATTTCAAAATTGTATTCATGTGTTTCGCTGCCATAAGGGGAAGACAATCCTTCATGGCATTGAAGATATATAGAACCTGCATAGCTCCTCTAGAACAATCAGAAGGAGAGGAATCTGCAGAAGATCCACCAGCAAGCAGTAGAAACCTCTCAAAGATGGCTGTGATATCTTCACTTGCCGGCATCAACACTGCCAGATTCTGAAAACTTCTTAGTACACCACTCAAACATGAGTGGCACTCCTTTCTCACCTGCAGTATGGCCCATTAACTATTATCCATGTACACCTCATATGAAGTATGCTTAAAAGGATAAATCACTGATCCTTTTGTACATAGGACCAGTTATCATGATATAATAAATTGATGATAGTTAGACACAAACAAAGACCATTACGCTTCACATTAAGGTTACACTATATAATTGACTGACATAGTCGATGACATGCACCAAAAAGGCATTGAAAAAGTAGAAGCACCATTATATGTACCATTCTTGTTGCTGTAAGATACCCAAGTTTCTCAAATGTTATTGGTTTATCGGTTTCACGTATATATACAATCCATAAAATTACTTACCCAGACTTCAAAAAATTAAGTTCCTCAAATGTCATTGGTTTACCGGTGTTACTTAAACATAATCCATAAAATTGCTTACTTAACTTCATTGGAAAAAAGATCACTTATTTATTCAATCTGTAGATAATACTGAACATACACTAAGTAAAAAGCATACGATATTCAACATGTAAATATTTACAGGTCTAGTTAGTTCTAAAGGAGGCAATGGATACAGAAATTGCATCCGGACAATTTAATTGTTACGACCAGTTTAAGCTCAAAAAATAACATCTCATGGAATATCAGTAACATTAGACGTGTATCTTGCAATTAAAAAGTTTTATCAAAATGAGAATGCTAGAATAAACAATAACACCTAATGAAGAAGTTGATGTTTTCATACAAGAATAAGCAGATGAGTAAGTAGGAAAACTGAACCCAATTATAGATTCGAAAGCAAGAAGAATGAAGGAGGGATAGAAAGCTTCCGAACTCCAGCTAAAGCAGCAAAATTTGCTCCGACAAGCTGAAAAGGAAAAAAAAAAAAAAGCTACCCAATTACCTTCGGTCGCTCATCCGTGACGAAACATAGAAGAACGCCATAGAGTGGCGACAAGGCCGACCAATCCGTCATGTCGCCAACCACAAGGAAATAAGATGCGCACCTCAACCCGGACCTCACACAACCAGGCGGTAGCGAATCGAAACCTAGGATTCGAACCAAGGTATCCGAGACCTCCGTCCACCTGCTCCTGACGACGGAGCGGGGAACCCTGGGGAGCGCCAAGGCGAGGAAGAAGAGCAGAGAGGCCGCGGCGGGGTCGGAGCCGGAGGCGGGGTCGCGGGAGAGGCGGTCAAGAGAGGAAGCGGTGGCGCCGAAGTAGGCGACGGAAGTGAGGGGCAGTCCCTGGTCCTTGAGGGCCTGGGTCATGGCAGCCACGGTGGCGCAGAGGTGCTGGTGGTCCTCTCGGGCGGAGCTCTGGAAGCGAGCCAGGACGCCGGCGGCGATATCGTCTCCGTCGATATCGCCGCAACAGACGCCGGAGGCCGTATCGTCGTCGACGGCGACGAAGAGGAGATCGAATTCCATTGCCAAGGCTTCCATCGCCGCTTCGGCGAGAACACAGAGAGAGAGAGAGAGAGAGAGAGAGACGAGAGAGAAAAAATCGAGTTTTAGGGTTTATATGGGAGGCGGCAGATTCCAACATTTGAGATCGGATGCTTTAAGATGCGTGTGATGCACTTGATGGTGGCTCAACTGTTAAAAACAATATCTTACGTAATATAACGAAAAAAACCGAAGAATAACACGTCATGCACGTGTTTTTTGAAACATCAAATAAACATTTAAAATTACAAGAAAACAAAATTTAATATAAATATATAAATAACGACATTGGAAAAAATAATTTGGTGGCATTTTTGTTAAAATAAAATTTTCACGGCATATAAAAATATGTTCTAAAAAAACAAGTAAAGCATGTTTCAAAAAAAATTAATTTTTTTATTCCTCAATAAATACTTTCATAAAATTCATTTTTTTATTGAAAAGATTTTGCTTGTAGGAGAGACATTGCACCAGTAAGAAAACTTAGCATTGACACCAAAAGAGAAATCATCCAAAAGTTTGTCACTTAAAATTTTTGACTTCCAATAATGATTTTTTTTAATATATTATTAATTTTTTTTTAAAAAAAAAAAACTTCCATTAAATTTAGAAAAACTTGACAAATTACCTATCTCCTCCACTTTACAAGAAAAAGAGAACTCATGTGTTCTATACAAATTTATGGGCTTTGTGATTAAGGTTCCTACACTTTTGATATAAAGGAGGATATATGAAGCTTACCTGTCATATCTTTTACATTATAAACAATAGCTTTAAGGTGTCAAAACTCTAATACAAGTATTTACAAAATGAATGGTAGACAAGACATTAGTAGAAATCTAAATTTTTAACATGGTACATCATATCATAGGGCTATATATATATATATAGAGAGAGAGAGAGAGGGGAGAACAACACTGCTTTCATTTCATTCGAACACATTACATGACACGAAGCCAACACAGTTTGCTTAAAACCAAAAGGAAAATAGGTGTTTATATTTACACAAACACAAAGATATCAGCCGTCCGATTGTTTTGTCGGCACATGACCAACGGCGATCAACGGGTGGCGGCGACGCGGGTGATGAAATAGAGCGCATTGCTGGTGACATGCGACGCCTCCGTGACCTGGGCGACGACCGCGTCCCGGGTGCGGCCGGAGAGCCCGGTGATCTCGCGGAGGCACATGTCCTGGTCCGTCATGGCGGCGCTGGCCCACGTCTGGGCGTCGCCGAGCTGCGACCGGAGGGTGTTGGGGTTGAGGCGGGCCAGCTCTTTGGCGGCGCGCGCGAGCTGGTTGGCCGCGTCCGAGAGGAGGTTGGCGCAGTCGCGGAAAGTGGCGCGGTCGCTCGGGGGTTGGGGGAGGGTGAGGCGGCGGAGGTAAGCTGCCGCTCCGCGGGTGGTGGAGTGGGAGGCGGAGGTGGCGGCAAGCGCGAGGTCGGAGGGGGTGGACGGGGAGCTGGGGGCGAGCGTGCGGACGCAGACGGAGGGGTAGCTTGCTTGGGCGCAGGCGGAGGCGACGAGGGAGGATGGTGGTGTGGCGGCTGAGAAGCCAGAGACGAAGGTGAGGACAACGAGGAGGAGGAGGCGGAGAGGGAGCACGGTGAGCATTCTTCCTTTGGTCTGAGACTAGGAACGAAAGAGAAGATCGAAGCAGTCAGGCAGGTCGCGAATGACATCTATATGCACTCTGTGAAATGTCATCAAGATTCGTGCAACACGCGGCTCTCTCATGGAGTCGTAACCCTAACGAAGCCAGTTATCATCATAAGATTCTTCGTGCTATGCAAGTCAACTACGTCGAATGAATACTCATAACTCTCAAAGCTATCGAAAACCCTGAACACGTTCCCCCATCGTCTACAATCTCAAGAAAAGCCGGTCAATCTGCATGGAGAATCCACTGCAGTGTTCAGTGAGATAGCGATGATATGCTCCCACGGTTTACTAGAAAACTGGGCACCAAAGAACACCATCGGAATGATAGATTCTGAGAAGATAAACCACATGAGATTACTGTGGAAGGGATAGTGACAAAAGAAGAACCGAACCGATAGAGAAACTGGAAGCTGTACTGAAGACGAGCACTTGTTTGCTCTGCTAGTTGATTCAGAAGATTAGGTTAGCACTTCTTGGAAGCTTCAGAACGACATTAATGGTGGCTTGTTTAATGGGAGGAGTCTTGGTGTGACACAGAGTTACTTGCTCGAGGTCTCGGGGCGGGGGAGGGGCTACAGCTAAGGGGTATCGTGGCTCCAAAACAGCACTCTTCTCAGGTCTCCCAGTCTTATCTTGCATGGAGTGAGAGTTATTGGAGACTCTCTTTGACTTCACTGTTGCAAGACACATCTTAATGTTCTTTAGTGTACTCAAGCGACAAACTAATTCTCTAATACACTTAAATTGGCGTTAATAACCTTTAAAATAACTTTCAAAGACTGTGCAGTGAATCTAATAATATCAAAGATAATTTGGTAATTTCATCTTTTATAGTGGTTAATCTGAATTCTTTGGACAAATGTTAATGGAAGATATGCTATTTCAAAGGCTACATATGGGAAAACCTCAAAATATAAATATATTATGTGGTTAGATTTATTGTAAAATTATAATATGAAACTAATAGTAAATTATAGTGATATGTTAAATTTTATTGGTTTTTTCCTGAAATTAAATTATATAATATTAAAATAGGATTTTTAAATTAAAAACTGCATAACATATTTTCATAAAATATATTAATAATATTGTGATTACAAAAGGAAAAAAAAAGAATAAAAAAATCTCCCATCTTCATCCCCATCTCTCTCTCTCTCTCTCTCTCTCAACTATGGAGCTCTGGTGAATCCTAGCCCAAGCTTCTCCTGCTTCTTCCTGAGCTCACCAGCCCCCGACTGCTTGCTCCTCGGTTCCCTCCATCAATGTCGGAGGCGGTGGCGGTCGAGCAGCGGCGAGGGAGAACCGACGGGGAATCGTAAGGAGTCGCCGCTGAGACTCCGGCTCCGGCTCCTGCTCTGGGTGGCGATGACGTCGAGGAACAGATGGCGGCGATCGCGAACGAGCTCTAGTGCCGAAAAGTTGGCGGGTACTACCGGATGGCCCGCGAAGTTCGGCCATCTCCAGGTTCGAATCCTTTGGCCTCCCTTTTGGTTGGATAGGCGTTTCCTGGTTATTAGGGTTTTTGAGTTTCTTCTGTTCGATGTTTGGCGGAGTATTGGCTACACGATCGTCGTTCAAGGTCGTCCTTCCACGGATGACACTTCATAATTTGATCGAAGTAATCGCGGCTGCTCATTTAGGTTTTCTGTTCTTCGTCAAGAGCTTGTTTGGGTGCCTGCGATTGTGAACCGTAACGGACTGGCATTTGGATAATGGCGACTTACTGGTATGTTGATCGGGTTAGGGCTTGAACGCATAGCTTGTTTACAGGGTAAGTAACTTTTGCTTGAATCATTCTGTGGTATGAACTCTTTCGGTTGATAGTTTCTTAGAATTCTCCATGCTCTGGGAACTTTGACATGTCAATGTAGTCATTTCTTTTCTTGCATACATGTTATGTAGACTTGTCTTTGTTATCCCTGTAACCATGTTTGGAGTTACATGGAGTACCAGTGCTAAGAAAGGTTAGGATTGCTTTGGTGTCAAAATTCTCAAGTCAACAATTTAGTTGGTTCATCTGGTCATCCCATTTGAGACTAAATTAGGATGCACAATCTCTCTACTCAAAGCTCAATGTCCTTGTTAAGGCTCAAACCGATGCATAGCCTGAGATCGCCATGGTAAGGACCTTATCATGGACTAATTAATTTGATGATAGTAGGATATCTAATCTTATATATAACCGTACTCATCTTCCCGTCACCGATGTTGGAATAAAATGGTGTCACATTTCAATGTCACGTTTTGATATGATTCAAGTCATATATCGAAAGGGTTACATCATGCATAAACACTTAATTCAAAATTCAAATTCCAAAATTAATCTTACCGAACTCGGTTAAAATACTGGTATAACAACTCAACCAAACAAGAGCCAATCATTCTGACCATCATTTCTGCCACTTGTTCAATGTTTCATCAAATTTGGAGGACCAAGTTTTTGCAAGGTGAGGAATTATTATGCCCGAATTTTGACTGAAATTGACTAAGGGGCTTTTTGGAGTTTGAATCTTGTATGAAGGATTTATGCAAGGCGAGGAATTATTATGGCCGAATTTTACCTGAAATTGACTAAGGGCACTTTGGAGTTTGGATCGTCTATGAAGGATTTATGCACCGTGTGACCCTCTCGTTAAACTGGAGCATGACAACATATGGACATTTGGCCTTTCTTGCATGTGTAAATATTTTAGATGAATGGCTAAGTTTTATCTGGAGCAAATTTTTCATCAACTATGAATAATAGGTGGCAAGAGAAGCTCAAAAATGTTTATTGTATCTTGAACTAGTGGATCGTATTTTTTGAAAAATCAATCTTTATGACTGACTTGTCAATATGGTAATAGCTTAATTTTGCATTATAGTAAAATTACTCTTGGATTTTGTCTATGAACTTAGTTGCTGGACTTATTTGGAAATATGGAATATTTCCATAATAAAATGTAATGTATAGTCTGGATCCAATGTTTCTGTCTGATATGTCTTTTTAAAGTTTTGATCTCACATTTTTCCAAAACAGCCTCGAACATGAGGTATTAAATGAGAAATCTTCAATTTCTTTTTCTGGCTTTGGCCATGTTTCTTCACTTGGAGCATGGAAATTTTTGTGCGTTTAAAATATTAAATGAATTTTTCTAGCCTTTGCCAGGTGCTTGTATTCAGTGAACAGAAGTGAATATGGACATACTTGGATCCACTTGCTTCCAATCTGCTTTTAGCTCTTGCCTGTTATCCATGTTGGGCTAGCAATTTTTGTTTCTAGTCCTAAATCGCTCGCTTACCAGTTTGTTGTTTCTGCTATATGGTTTTTCTTTTGGGTACAACAGCACAAGTTTGGCATGTATGACCATAATGTGCATTTGTTTTTGAAACGACAATCTCTGAATAAGAGGTTGAGAATAATTGAGTTTGTTGCTGCATGGGATTTTTGTTTTCTTGGCTCAATCAGGTTGTGCTACTTTTAGTACAAGTTAGTCTTTTACTTTAAACTTCATAGCTGGTCCAATGTCTTTTGAATTGTCACATGACTTTTGCTCCTACTTTGACAGCAACAAACAAAAAGAATATGCATCTTGAACATATGCCCAGATTAAGTGATTAGAAGATCATTTTAAAATAAGTCTTTGATTGTATTCTTGTGTTCAATTCCTTTCATATTTGATCTTCCGTGATAGTAACTTATGACAGCTCTGGTATCATCCTGCTGCTACATCAAAGAACTCCTTGTCATGTACCATCCACACAGCACTGTGGATTGAGGATGGAAGGTCTTGAACACCTTTTGATCACTTGGTTAAGTCGCAACAAGGAGATCGACTCCATTGAACATTTTAATGAGAAGGTCCTGGCCAAGCAAGAAAAAGATAACCTTCAGATTCTCGGTGTGGACCGCTAAAACATATTGTAAGCATGAAACCATGTGAGGAATTCATATCTCATTGAAGTTGGCAGAATTGAATTCATGACAACTACATTCATCTTCCTCTGGGAACCAGCTGTTCTTGACATTCAGAAACAGGATTGAGGAGCTCTGCACATATGGTACCCATACTGCAAAACCAAATAAGATTGACATAGTCCGCAACCAAGGCTGAAGATTGAATGTGCAGATGAGGGAGAAGGTATTTTTCTTATTTCTTCCAGTCAAACTATAAGATATTTATGCCTCATATCTGTCACAACATGTAATGATCCTTTTATTGATTGCAATCTCCTCGGTGCATCCTTTTGCCTACCGATATGGGCAACAGTCTCAGCAGAGAATTGCATAGCAAAGATGCACTCCAGATTGCCCCTGCCATATTCTACAATGAGAAACACTAGTATTATACATTGTTCTGTAGCTGTAATAATCTCGTGACACTTAGGTTCTGCACTTGTTGTATGATGGAATGCTAATTGATCGTAATAGAATGAATCTGAATACAAATTACAATTTTGCTGGATTAGATCTGAAGACTGATATGTGAAGAGATTGTTTGAACATGACATAACAGAAAAGATGGACATGATACACATCAGAATCCAATCCAGTACATCTGGATAGAATGTGCCTGAGGGAGATTAAGAATACAATCATCCTACCTAATGGAAGAAACTTGATTGATGCTTGCTATCCACATGGGAGGCTGAGCGGGATACAGGTAGAGAATGACTACAAACTCTTCTGGTTACGAATCTAACACTGACTACAAACTAGTAAAAGAGAGACTTTTTGAAGAACTCTCCCATCTTAAACTTGTTCTACCCATCGTTGCCACTGATATTGCTGTTGCTACTGTTGTTGTTGTCGTCATGGTTGCGGTGGTGATGGTGATGGTTGCTGCTGCCACCAGCGTCATCGAACTTCCTCTTTCTGCTATTTCCATGGTGGTGACTCCTGAGCTGCGAGAGTTCCATCTGGGTCTTCATCAAGAACTCCATCCTCTGCAACTCGAGCTCTCTGGTGAACTCCAGCCGCTGCTTCTCCATCTCCATCGCCTGCCGCAGCTTCGAGCTCTCCACCCGCTCGTACACCTCCCCAAACTTCAGTATCGCCTGCGCCAGCTCCCGGAGGTCCGCCGTCCTCTGTTCCTCTCCCTCCTCTTCCACTGGCTCCTGGTGGAGCCTCTTGCCGTTGGCCTCCTTCGGCGGTGGCGGCGGGAACCCGTCGGAGGAGTCCGCAGACGAGCCCGCCGACTTGGACGCCAAGGCCGGTGACGATCTCACCTTCTTCTTCAAGGTGGGGTGGTTGGAACGGAGCCGCTGCGGGATCCGCTGGGGGTAGCGGAAGGGAACACCGGCGGGAATCGTGCTGCTGGGTGGCGGCGGGGCGGGCTTGTGGGTGGGTCCGAGGAGAAGGTCGAGGCGGTGGAAGAACGGCCAGGAGGGGGTAGCGCCGCCGGCAGAGGAGGAGATCTTGGACTTCTCGATCTTGTACTTCTTCTTAAGGGTGTCGATGCGGTTCTTGCACTGGACGTCGGTCTTGGGGGCTTTGGTGTAGCCGTCGCGGCTGGTGACGGCGTCAGCCACCTCCTGCCACTGCTTCTGCTTGAGGTTGCCGCGGCTGAGCTCCAGGTACCGCTCCCCCCAAGCGTCGATCAGGGCAGAGGTGGCGCCGTCGCTCCAGCAGTCCTCGCGCCCTCCGCCGCTGGCTGGGCCGGGGGAAGCGCGCAGCTGCCGGATGGGGACGGCGTGTTGGGGCGCGGCGGCAACGGTGACAGGCTCATCGATGCGGCCGTTGGGTTGGTGGGGAGAGGCGCTAGGGGAGGAGGAAGGGGGCACCACAGAGACCGGGGGCGGCGACGGGGATTGGGACAGCGAGCGCGACGGGGACTGGGCGTCGTCGTCGTCCTCCATCACGCGAGAAGGAGATCTGCGCTCTGGCGGCAGCGGCGGCAAGGGACGGGTGAGAGAGGGCAAGTAGAAAGAAGAAAGAGGTGGGAGAAGGATTCTTCCGCCGACCGGCGTTACCTTTTGACGGGCGTCCGGAAGGTCTGGTACGATATAGAAATATATAACGTTTTTCTACAATATGTCTATTTCCTTTAAACTTAAAAGCGGGACAGAATATAACGGTGCCGGTTTGAAGGATTGACGGCGAGACCGCGGGAGAATTGACGGCGTCGTCGTCGGCGTAGACCCGGGGAGCTCAACGCCCACGTGAGAATCGAGGTCGTAGGGCTACGTGGCATGTTTCGGTTGGAAGATCGCTGCAGTTAATCTTTGGTAAGTCGCCACTTTTATCTTCGATAAAATCTACGTATTTTTGAATTATCGGTTGTTCCCTTATTTTTTTTCAAAGCCAATTATTCATTTATTTTTGTTACTACTAAATCACTAATTTTCTTTTTTGCTCACTAAGCACAATAGAGAAAAAAAGAGTCCATGTCTTCCCAACTTACTCTTTTAATTAAATATATACGTCTATACAAGATATAATCAAAATTTGTATATAATAATTCCTAAATTATGCAGCACTCTTAGAGAGCATGATTTCAGATCTTTTTCTACCCAACTGACAGGACTAGATAACAATTGGCTACTCGAATTATAAGTTTTAATAAATTAAATGGATCTTTTTTTGCCATATATATATTCATATATATATATATATACATACATATATAGTTTAAATATATCATATATTACTTCTGTTAATTCTCATACTAACTACAATTAATCATTAGTCATGCTTGTCACTAAATCTAAAAGCTATTGAAATTACACACACAAGTTTCTAAATTTGTAGAAATAAATAATATGTATAATATATATAATGTTCAGGTTAAAGTGTGGGCTAAACACGTAAATAGGTAACTCTTAAGGGATGAAGAGAGACATTTCACTCGACGGCCGAAAAGATAAGAGCTGGATTTGGCCTCAGCCGCGGAGCCTTCTTAACTTTCGGCTCCATGGCCGCCGCCGCCACGGCTATGGCGGCTTCCCGAACCTCTCTCCTCCAACTCCTCCGCCCGAAGCTCCTCGGGCCTTCTCGAACCTTCTCCTCCTTCCCGTGCTGCCGCCGCCCTTGCGCTCTCCCCCTTCTCCTCCGCCGCAGCTCCTCTCAGCCCGCCCCCGAAACCCTCGAGGCGCCGATCCAGGGGTTGGACTCGTCCACCCGCGCCCCCAACGTCGTCGACATCCTCCAGGAACGGGGCCTCATCGAGTCCATCACCAGCGAGAACCTCAGGTCCGCGTGCTCCACTCCCGCAGCCAATCCCCTCAAAGTCTACTGTGGCTTCGATCCCACGGCCGAAAGCTTGCACCTCGGGAACCTGCTCGGGATCATCGTCCTGTCCTGGTTCCAGCGGTGCGGCCACCAGGCTGTTGCGCTGATCGGTGGCGCCACCGGCCGCGTCGGAGACCCGTCCGGTAAGAGTTTAGAGCGGCCGGAGCTAGACGTCGAAACGCTGGATAAGAATAGCGCCAGTATTAAGGATTTGATCTCTAAGATCCTGGGAAGAAGAGGAGGGAACGAGATTGCTATTGCAGGATCCGAGAACGAGACATTTTTGGACATTGGCGACGATAAAGGCGGGAAAGGCGCGTTCTTTGATTCGATCTCAGAAGACAATAGGAGTTCCGATGAGTCTTTCATGATTCTGAACAATTATGACTGGTGGAAAGGCATTACGCTGTTAGAATTCCTCAGAGAAGTAGGAAGGTTTGCTAGGGTTGGCACCATGATGGCAAAGGAGAGTGTCAAGAAAAGGTTGGTGTCAGAGGAAGGAATGAGTTATACTGAATTCACTTATCAGCTATTGCAGGGTTATGACTTCTTGTATCTGTTCAAGAACATGGGTGTCAATGTTCAGATAGGTGGTAGTGATCAGTGGGGCAACATCACTGCTGGCACCGAACTGATACGAAAGATATTGCAGATTGAGGGTGCTTTTGGTTTGACATTTCCTCTCTTGCTCAAGAGTGATGGAACTAAATTCGGGAAATCTGAAGGTGGAGCTATATGGTTGTCAGCATCGATGTTGTCACCGTATAAGTTTTATCAGTATTTCTTTGCAGTTCCAGATGTTGATGTCATAAGGTTTCTAAAGATTCTTACGTTTTTGAGCATGGAGGAGATTCGGGAGCTGGAGGAGGAAATGAAGAAGCCTGGTTATGTTCCGAACACAGTTCAGAGGAGGCTTGCAGAAGAGGTGACCCGCTTTGTACATGGGGAGGATGGACTTGCTGAAGCTTTGAAGGCAACTGAAGCTTTAAGGCCCGGCGCTGAGACACGGTTGGATGCGGAGACAATTGAAGGAATATCAGAGGATGTTCCATCATGTTCTTTGGCATATTATCAGGTGTTAAATTCCTCTTTGATTGATCTTTCGGTCTCTACTGGTTTGCTCAGTACCAAGTCCGCTGTACGACGACTAATGAAACAAGGGGGTCTCTATTTAAATAACAAAAGGGTCGATACTGAGGAAAAGAGGGTCGAAGAAGCTGATATAATTGATGGTAAAATTCTTTTGTTATCTGCTGGTAAGAAGAATAAGATGGTTGTGAGGATATCCTGACTTCTTGCCTCGAGTTATTGTCAGAATATCAATTTACTGGCTATTTAGTTGAAAGAAATTCAAGTTTTCACCTTGAGAGCTGTATATGTTCGGTTCATGTTTTTCTTTGCTGGAGTTCATGGTTTTGCAATTAGAGATTCCTGATTGCATTGCATACTTAGAGATTACAGCCAGTTCTCTTTTAGTTGTCATATCATTTCCTCTTCTCTTGCCGTTAATGATATTGATTCCTTTGTCTCATTTAGTAGAAATAGTTACTTGTGTGATGCAGAAATTGTTACATCATGTATCAAGAAGCTATTTTGTATCATTATATTCACATGACAACTAGACTTTGCAAAATCTTTGTACAGATTTTGCGCCTACGTTCAAAATTTAAATCAGAGTGCTTGGTTTGCAATTTAAGTAGCTTCATTTGGCACACCTTGTGATCACTATTAATGTTGGAGATAATATAGGTAGAACTCTGAATTCCATCTGTGGTGTTTGTTGCATCTCTTGGTTCTGGATTCTCACTGACACCAAATTCTTGGATCTTCCTATAACTTGTTCAGTGATTTAAAAAGGCGCTCGGGCGCTCTCCTAGGCGCTCGGGCGAGGCGAGGTGAGGCCCGAGCGTCTCGCTTCACTTCCAGGCGGCGCGCTTCAAAGAGGCGTCGTCTGGGCGCTCGCCCGAGCCCAGGCGCTGGGCGCTTCGGGCGAGCGCCTGGGTTAAACCAGGCGATCGAACCAGGATTTTAGGTCTGGTTCGGTCTCCAGTGGTTAGTTGGTTCAATCGAACCAACTAAAATTGATATTAGCTGTCGTTGCCCAACCCTAACCCTGCTCGTTGCCACTGCCACTCCCGCTCCCGCTGCTCGCCGCTGTCACTCAACCGCTGCCGCTGTCGCTGTCGCCACTTGTCGCTCTTGGTCCCGCTGCCGCTGCCTCCTTACACTCCCGTTGCTGCTGCCTCCTTACACTCCCGCTCCCGCTATCGCTGCCTCCTTCCACTCTCACTGTCGCTGCATCCTTACACTCCCGCCGCCTCCTTACACTCCTGCTGTCGCTTCCTCCTTTCTCAGTCAGCACCCCCTTACACTCTTCCTTCTTCTCCTTCTGTATACTGTTAATATTGTTAGGTTTATTTGAAATTATTAATTTTCAATACTGTTAATAGATTAATAATATATTATTTTTAATTTAATATTATATTTTTTTATTTAAAATTTTAAATAATTATATTTATTAATTATATTATATATTTTTATATTTTAGCGCCTCGCTTCGCTCGAGCGAGCGCCTGGCGCCTCGGGCGTTTTAGGACCTTAGCGCCTTTTGGCGCCTAGCGTTTTTTAAATCACTGAACTTGTTTTACCATCATGGTATCAATTAAGATTGCCAATGTCCTCAATTGCAGTGAATATGAAGGTGAAGCTTGTTAGCATACATGTTACATACTTATCACATCTTGCTATCATTTAGAGTTCTAATGCTGTATCTGCGACTGCATTATTCTCTATATCGAGAATTATCTAGCTTTATTATTCAAGTGACATGAAAAGAACTGATTTCAAAAGTTGCCTGTTTTTTCTTTTCTTTATGTCGATTACTTATTAATGGCGCTTAATTTTCTGGATGTTCTTTTGTTGTACCCAGCTTTAATTTGATTGGCTAGACTTTCACATGTTAGGGACTTTATACAACAAAGCAAGCTATAAAATCCCAACAATTATGAACTGCAAGTTTTTGTTGAGAACAGTTCCTGATCGAGTGCCATCAATCCAATATACCGTTTCAGTTTAGATTGTCTTAAATCTTGTTCTACCTCTTCTCGCATCGCTAATATATGCATATCACACATTCATCCTCATACTATTCTTAAGTTGTTGTTGTGAACAAAGTATGATATTTAGTCCAGTTGGAAGCTTGTAGTTGAAAACACAAAAAGCACAAGGTCCTATAGGAATTTGCTTCTCTTCTCATAAGCTGTTACTCTGTGAATCATACTATGATCTATCTTAACTTTGGTGACAAGAAAGCTAATCTTGTGATGAGACATTTATATGACTGAAGGGTAGATGACTCAGTTTATTCTTTCTAATTTAAATGACTGCAAGATTCATATGAAATTTCAGTATGATGTCTCCTTAATTTTGCTTTGTTCATTTACTATAGATATTAGCTCTCATCTTTAATCTGCAAAAGGCTGCCATTTTCCTCTTGATAAATTAGCTCAAATTTGTTATTTTTCTCTTGAATTTTAGTTGATGTTATAGTACTATAGCTCTTCTACAAGTATTGAAAAACAAAACAAAATTGTAGTCATGAAAATACCTTTTGGCATAGAATTACTTTCATAAATAAGGCTAAAAACAGATCTATTGGTTCTAATTCAAAACGAAGACAAGCTGAAGAAGTGCGCATTTGATTGTAATTGTCTAGAAGTTGATCGTCGATTGAAGTATTTTGGTAAGTGGTTTAGGTTATAAAGGTAATGAGTTGCATCGTAATAAATTATATAGGTATAGATTAATATGGTGAGAGATCCAAATAGAAAAAAAAAATTTCTATGGATGAGTTTGTTTCCATGTGTTGCATCTGATGGAGGTGGAGATATAAATTGGTAACTTAGGCTTAAGTGCTTTTAGTTAATAATTTTAGACTGTTCTAATTGTGGATTAACTATTCCTTAAAATCAAATCAAATCATGACAATTCTTCAGAGCATGTGTTTGTGTGTGTATTCATGTATAATTTATTTACCAACATTATAAACAACTGCAAGTCTACATGTACAAGGCAGAGAATAACAAACCCATACATTTGGTTGATATCCTGCAGCAAAACAATTCAATCTCTCTATGCCTCACCTACAACAAAGGAAAGAGAAGAAATGCCTCAAAGAAATGAGTAGCCAATGTTTCTTTTCTTTGGTAACACCGATCGTTTCACCAGCCTTCCCCATCCATCATAAATGTCGAGGTTCGCACATGGCGCTGGAAAAATGGTACCGATGATGCGACCTTGGACGAATGAGCATCGGAAGATGTTCTTCTTCTTCTTCTTGTAGTTCAAGCCGATCGACATGTCGCGAAAGCTAACATCCCTCACTGGGATCTCCTTGCTGCCGTTGAGTCGAACCGGGATGTCGACATTCTGTCCATGGATCCCGTTGAAGTGTATGCTTTCCAGAGTAGGAATAGCCTTTGGATCGAAGAATTCATCGGCATGCTCATTGTAGTCTATCTTTATTACGATGCCGATACTAACGTGGTTTAGGGTTACATTCCGATAGAAAATGTTGCGGACGTAGCCTCCTCGGCCAGCAGCCGTCTTTATTCTTAGACCTCTCTTTGATTCCCACACATGAAGGTTTTCCACTGTTACATTTGAAACTCCACCAGACATTTCACTGCCTATTGATACTCCTGCACTGCACAGCAACAAGATTGTTCTTGATCACATTATGAATCCTTTCAAAAACCTCAAGCAACTAAGAGAGTAGTGTATATTTAGCTTAGATGTAAGCAAAATGAAGCACAGAGTTGCAACTTAAAAAGTAGGCAATGCTTTGTGGTCATTAATTACTAATCACAGTTATGATAATGTATCCATCAACTATGTCAGAGCTGCAAATGGTGGGTGGTGTTCTCACTTGTGCAAAATTGAAAAGGTTGTATCAGCTGACTTATGTTTAACCATGTCAGCAGTCAGGAAGATTCTAGAACATTCTAGAGTTTCATTTTGAAGGGTTTTTTTTGCAAGAAAGACTGAATACCTAATCTTGTACTTGTTATAGGAAAAAAAATTGCATCTATCTGTCTATGGATTATGCAATGCTTTGGACTATACAAATTATATAAAAAGCATTCATTTATCTCAAGCTGCTTATATAATTCTGCAGGAATCACAGTTAATTACTAATCATAGCAGGAATCACACATGTAGCTGTAAGCAAAATGAAACACAAAATTGCAACTAAAAAGTAGGCAATGTTTTGTGGTCAGTAATAACTAATCACAGTTATGATAATGTACCCATCAACTATGTCATAGCAGGCAAAATTGAAAAGGATGTATCAGCTGACTCAGTTTAACCATGTCAGCAGTCAGGAAGATTCTTTTGAAGTGTTTGACTTTGCAAGAAAGACTGACTACCTAATCTTGCACTTGTTATAGGAAAAAAAAAATTGCATCTATCTGTCCAAGGAATATGCCATGTTTTGGGCTATACAAAACATAAAAAGCATTCATTTATCTCAATCAGCTGATATAATTCTGCAGGAATCAAGATTCAAGAAACACATTTTAACTGCTGTCAGACATGTATAATATGATGATAATAGAACTTCTTTTGCCGTTCCAATAATTCATCCTTCAGAAGATGTCATATAGAACATATTGCTTGAAAGATACAGATTATTATCATATCTGTTACACCTAATAATTTGTGGATTCTAAGCAACACCGAGGAGGTTGAGACATCAAATAGTTGGGCACCAGACTAGAAGGCATGCAACACGCAAACATATGTTAGGTATCAACCAGTTAACAATGATAAATGCAGAACAATGCACATAATAATGTCAAAGGATGTGCAGATGATCTTTACCTAACCACCGAGCGAACGGTGACATTACGGATTAAAATGTTAATCGATGGGCGCTTGTATGCAATGCCGTACTGATCCCAGCCACTCTTAATGGCTATTCCATCATCACCTGTGCAAATGTAGCAATTTTCTATCACCACATCCTCACAAGAATCTGTGCACACATGAAGCATCTGTCAGAAATTGAAGCAATGTTGCCATCTAACTACACGAGATGAAAGCTGAGTTCATGCAACATGTACTGAACTGTCAATGTGCAGAAGCTTATTTCTGTTTGAGGTGTGCAACACCAAGTGATACATGAAATAGGCATCAAAACAAGATTCGATGCACATCATTTACTCATCAGTGCATGCAATTGCTTGTTTCATTATTACCGGAACAAAATGATGGTAACACAGAGAAACATGCTTACCTGGATCTATTCCATCTGTGTTTGGAGCCCCAGAAACAGGAGCCAGGATGGTAAGGTTTGAGATGGTGACATTCTTGCAGTCATATGGATGCAACGTCCAGAAAGGAGAGTCTCTCAGGGTTATGTTAGAAATGACTACATCCCTGGACCACATGAGCTGCAAAAGAGGTCCTCTGGTGTGGTTGAGAAGTTTCTTCTGATACTTTGTCCACCATGTTTGTCCTTGTCCATTTATTGTACCATTATGTCCTGCTTGCCACAGACAATAGGCCTTTAAACAATGAAATCGCTTCCTCATCCAATATATTGCATGATCACATCAAAAATTCAGTATCTCCAGTGTAATTTAATTAAACAAATATTATTGAATGAAAAACAACCTTCAAGAAGCTTTCTTTGTTGCAAAGGATTCTACTTGATGAGTTTTCAGCATTTCATTTATTGTCTACATACTTGAGCATAGTTTCAAAACATGGTAACTTATGCATGGCCTTTCATCATGATCAAGCCATTATGTGTGAATCAGGCTTCTAACCAGACAGAAGGAATCAAAATCCTTCATCGGAAAAGTTTCTGAACACCTCTAATCCAATGAAATGGTGCAATGATCCTCATCTATATGCCCCTTGCAAATTTATCAAATTCAAGTATGATTTAAGATGGGAAATCAATTCATGGTTTCCCTAATATAATTTTACATAGATATTCAATACAAAAAATTCACGGGGGCATATCCGATATAATTTCTGAGATATGATGTTAAAGCAGGGGATTCGTAGAAAACAACAAAAAAAGGATATCAGAATGTGTCAAAGATGGCTTTTTATCGGTTCTGTGCAAGTTATTTTCCTCATAAGAATGATACAACATTATTCAGTACTTGTGGCCATTGTCATATTTCCTGATAAGAATTCTCCTTACTTCTTACTCTAAATATAAAACAGGAAATCAGAAGTAAAGAAAGTTTAATCAGCAAGAGAACAATAAATACACTAACCTGTTATAACCACATCCTTCAGATTTTGGCCATGAATCAGACTCCCATATCTAGGCCCTTTATGCTCCCTTCCATACCCATATGATGGCAGTGGAGGCAATAGTGGCCAGTATCTCTCATCCTGATAAATTACATGAACAAATTAGACAGCCACACCTTCTTATATTCATATGGTACAGAGTGAAGTAAATTCTATCAATGGAAAATAGTGCACATCTCAAGTTCATTTAGATTTAAAAGTATCAAGGACATGTAGGTAACCCTTGCTTGACTGCCACAAGAAGAATGCACTTACTGTTCTATGCTTGATCATACAGTTGATTACCTATAATAACCAACAGAAATTTGAACTCTCACAATGAGGACAAGCAGTCTTCCTACCAACAACACTGACAATTAAAAACCTAGCAGGTAAAGTGCACCTTTGGAAAACAGAGTTCTTTGTGGACAACAAAAAGTTGTTGACCAATATCACAAACTTCTTAGTCATCACTCATTTTGCATCAAAATCAATTCAGGGGTGTAATGAGAATTAAGAAGATACGATGTCTCAGCATCCCTTCCATCTACCAACCAACTATTCTTTCCATTTCATCACAATTGAGACATAAGAGCATCATCTAGAGGAGTCAATTATGTGAAGAGCATCACTACCCAAAGGATAAAAAGATGATGTTTTTGCCTTGCTATCGCCTAAGATTTTTCATCACTGTTAACTAGTTAGCACGCTAATGATCATGAAATATCACAATCTGCAAGTAACTCATAGAAGGAAAGAACTCAGAAAGATCCAAGTTTGAAGCTTAATCTCACCTCCACGCCAAGAATAACAGCGCCCTCCGCAAGGAAAAGAGTCATGTGGCTCGTGAGATTGAACGGCGCCGTGAGCCACAACCCGGCCGGCACATCGAGCTGCCCGCCTCCCCTCTCCCCAAGCTTCGCGATCTCCGCAACCGCGCTCTCGAACGCGTCGGTGTTCAGGGTCTCCCCATCCCCAACCGCGCCGAAATCGGTCAGATTGAACGCCACCGGCCGAAACATGGGCCCGGTCCTGACCCGCGGCAGCTGCAACGAGAACCCGACCTCATCCACATAGCTCGTCCGCCACCAGAACACCGACGCAAACACCAAGGTCCACAACACCAAAAATAACGCCTTGGGCGATGAGAAGAAGGTCACCACCCGTCGTCGGCACTGACAAGCTTGCACCTTCCCGCCGGCAGAGGAGTGCTTCTCCAACATTCCTACGGCAATCCCCCGGTTTTTCTCCACTGAAAGAGCAGAAATCAGGATCAATCGGTAGGTCTTTGCGAGGAGAATCGAATCGTGATGGAGATGCAAGACGTAATCGTAGAATCGGGAAGCGGATTAGGGTTCCCGACATTGGCGACGACTGGGGGTTTAAAATGAGCGGGAGAGGGGTGAGGGAGAAGAATAGTAGTAGTCGACGCCCACTTGCTTGTCAAGAAAACGTCCTGCTTCGTGGCCTTATGATGGCCTTACGATCTTAATCGAACGGCTGTTAACCCACCATGACCTATTCATATCTTCTGGAATGAGACGTGAAGATATTGTAGCCTTGCATTATTAATTTGACCCTTTTTTTTCTTTGTGAGAGAGAGAGAGAGAGAGAAATCCAATAAATGTTAGGTGTGATATGATGGAATAAAATCACAGTTAGCAAACATTTATTTATTATTATAGGATTTATGAGTTAATTATTAGTCATGGATGTGCAATGGTGGGTGATCAAATGCACTTCTGTTGTGTTGACTTTGACTTTGGACTTGATGAAGAAGGCATTGGATCAGCTGGAAAATGACACATTGTGGTAGTCATGAAATGGATGGGTGTTAATATTTTTCTCCACAGTTGACCTGCACAACTCCTTTTGTGGGTTAGGTATGGAAAAATTATTATTTTTTAATGTTTTTTAAATGTGAGAATGAGTTTTTAATGTAATTTTCTTTTCTAAGAAAAAGAAAACAATAAGGCTCAAATAAGAAACACAAAGAAACAAGTTGAATATAAACATAAAAAAAAAATAAGAGGAATATTGATGCTTATTTGTAAGTGTGATAAGAAGTATGTTGTTTTCTATAAGCTAAAATCCACTTTGCATGGCATGAGAATAATATAATGTAATAAATTTCTTTTTTAAAAATTATTAAACTTACTATAAAGATTTACTGCTTTCATTTGGACAAAAAGATAATGCCATTTCACTGTCAGGATTCATATTTTGAGAATTTTCAGTAGCGTCTTAATTGATAGGTGTGTAGAGGATGAAAAGATTAATGTTTGATATGACATGAACCTAACAATAATTGATTAATTAAAAATATAAATATAATAATAATAATAATTGATTTAAGATATAATGACATGGACCTTATAAAAATTATTAATTATAATAAATTGTCAAATTATATGTTTAATATGCTTAAAATAATTCGATCTACGATACAATGATATGATCTTCATGAATCTCATTAATTATCATTTTGCTTAGCATGGTTCAGAATTTAAACTAATCAAAATAACATTATCATCTTTATTTTTTAAACATAACACTATTTAATATTTAAAATTTTCAATAAAAATAAATAATTTTCAATCAAAAAATCAAACAAAGAGTCCTTAATTAGGAGAAGAAAAAGGGATCTCCTAAAGGAAATAAATATTTTAATTTTCGAAATTATTCATTTATTTATTAATTAATCTCTTAACCTGACATGTCCACACAAAAAAACATAAGTGGATTAATCTCTGGCTAAGAAGGTTAATTATTTCTTTAATTTATGTTACATACAAAGAAAAAAGAATTAATCCAAATAAGATAACAATCCTGATTACAATTTTTTTTTTGTTTTAATTCCATTTACATAGTTTTATCCCTATAATATAATAGAGCAAGCATGCAACATGAGGTTTACCTCTAAGGAATATGTCAAATAATACTTCCAAAAAATGTTTGGTTAAAATAGTCATATTATTTTATACTATCAGCCTATTATTCAAGGAAAAAAAAACAATGTACATAACTTTATCCTTGTGATTAGAAATTGGTTGATTTTAGAAATCAAAAAATGTGATAGTGAGGCTCATATATTCTCTTCTCCAATACCTTTCAGTATACTTATATGTTTCCTTTTTATTTACATGTAAATCATCATGGAATGAACTAAAGATAAATATAGGTAAATGACTCAGTAACATTTGAGGACATGTGAAAAGAACATGACAATAAATATTTGTTTCAATTTATCAACTAATAGGTGAAATTCCCACAATGCTATGTTCAATCACATCAATATTCTGTAAATTCTGTGTTTATCACCCAAAAAAAAATATGATAACTTTCAAGCTCATAGTTGTAAAAATGATACTCGAGTGTTTCATGTTGGAAGACCATGAGAAGTATCTTAGCACTCATGATCTTTAAATTGGCAAGACCATAGGGTAGTAGAAAGATTTGCAAGTTGTTTCTCACCTCCTTAGCCAGAGGTTTAACATAGAGCTCAGCAATGCTAAGACTTGCTTCCGATCTCTGAGAGAAAGGATGGCCTAGTGTGTTTCAATGCAATGATACTGAAATGAGAAAGATGCTAAGAGAAGAAAGGTGAGAACACCAGAAGGATATCTCAGCTGAGCACCTCCCTCGGCTTTCATGGCATCTGATGTTGCTGCAATGTTTAGGAGTGGTCTTTCCCCTTTTTCTTTCACGACCTTGCTGATGAATGAAGAATGAGAGGATCTACGACAGGAAGAAAGGTTAACGAGGAATAATGAATCGCAAGGAATAAGGTAAGAAAAGGGAAGATATACAAGGTTGCATGAGGAAGAAAATAGAACCCCTTTTGTCACGTATGAACGAAGAGGGATTGCAGCACACTCATGTACGAACGTCAAGAAGAAGAAGAAGAAGAAGAAGAAGAAGGCTTGGGTGAGTTTATGCCAGCATAATGAATATCTTCTAATCTGTAAAAAAGTGTGCAGTGTTCTCAATAGCTCGTATCTCTTCTGTTCAAACAAGAACTCAGGTCTTAATATTTTGATTGAAAACGAACGACAAGAGATCACAGGGCTGCACTGATGCTTCTCATAAATATCGACAGTCTGCAACAAAAAAGGAGAATATGAGTATCGACAAGAAGGTACCTCAAAGTAGCTTCGGAATCAAGAACGCGGGTGGCCTTTCTTCTTTCAGATTCAGCTTGCATTTCCATATCTTTCTTGGCTTGGTTGGTATGGTGGAGGAGATATATGGGCGTCGCTATTTGAAGGTTGCTATCTGTTCCTTTTGGAATTCTTTTTATTATTATTATTATTCATTTTTCTTGATTAATGGTAAAAGCAATCCTTATTGAAATTGCATGATGATATTGACCCCATGGGGTTGGTGATACTCTCGATGATCCAGCTAGCAGAAACAACAATAACTTGGCATATGTTCTAGGAACAATCGATCACCCTCGACGAGGTGCGTATATGATATGAGGCATATTCTCGATGACGACAAAGTTTCCCTTCTTCCCATGTTATAAAATGTTATCTTATGACATCATTATCTTTATAATGATAATGCTTTATGACGCACCTCCAAAACAGCTTTTAAATTGCCATCGGCAAAGTTGCCGCCACAATTAAAGGAAATATTGGTGACACCTATCATCAACAAAAATGAGGACTTCATTTTTATTCGAATCAAAAATTCATTTCACCGAGTGTCATGTCCCAGTCACAAGCCACAAGGCTTACTTATCTACTGCTAGTAACTGTATAAGGAGGTATCATCAGAAACTTCTTAATGATGTGGATGATCGCGCTTTGAGTCTGTTCATAAACAAAGCAAGCAAGCGATATCGTGGAGTAAGAAACCAAGAATCTGGTCACTCTGAAAGTGAAAGCAACGGGAAAGAAAGGTGAAAATGAACGAACCAGAAACTATCCGAAGTTTATTCCTTGTGCCAAGGGCAGTTCACTGCCATAGTTGATTGTGCTGCAAAATAATTTGCAAAGACATCGTTAGTTCCATGTAAGAAGGAGCAAACCGATGTTAAAAGCTACAGAAAAGCATTTGTATTCGTCCTAACAGATTATCCTATAGGCTTTATCAACGGACGGAAGCAAAGTGAACAAAGAATGTGCGGAACAGGATCCTTGCAAGATATATTTCATGCCCTTTTGAGTTTGCAGAAGTTTTGAATAATTTATTGGACAACTTTCATGTGACTGCGTACATCATGTAGATATAATCCAGACAATTTTGTTCCTACATCAAAAATTTATCATGCCAAATATAGGGTTTCAGATCCTTGAACTTCCAGATTGTTAGTCATAGCCATGAATCTTGCAATTTTGTACTTGCATATATGGAATTAAAATACTAGTTCATGGCAGGCTAAAAGAAGCAACTCAATATATCTATCTACAAGTCATCCTGATCAAGCACAACCATTAACAAGATTATATGAAAAAAACATAAAGTCTGGAATCAAATATCATTTTAACCAATTTACCAGGTTGCACGTCGCATATACTGCTTCCATGAATCACTTCCTGCTTCTCGCCCCCCACCAGTAGCCTTTTCACCACCAAAAGCTCCACCGATTTCAGCACCATTAGTTGGTATGTTTACATTTACGATACCACAGTCGCTACCATGAGGCCTGCATCATTTTCAAGCATAAAAACACATGAAAAACAGAATTATTGACTAAATTGTCAAAGCAGCACCAATCCAAAGAAACACTAGTGACCTGAAAGAAGATAGATCCAAAATATTTATCAAGGAAGTCACATTTTCGATGTAACAACAAGATGTCATAATATCCCAATTATTTGATGTTGGCTACATGGGTCACTCAACATTTTTTTTCAACATAATAGAAAAATGTCCAAGTATTTTTTCAACATAACAGGGTCAGAGTCAAACACCTTTAACTTCAAAAATAACACTCATCGACCCAAAGAAACAGCAGAAGTTCTGTTCTAGAAATTTATACAATTTAATTTTTTTTCCCATCTCCAATGAAATTTATGATATATATGCAAATTATGCTTAGATTTGTTCTTCTATCCAAATAAACACTTGCCACCCCATCCTCATATTTGTTGTATTATGAGCTATCCAATCTCCGTTTAGATGATCCAAAAATCTGAAATAAATGAAGGGGGCTAAGGGAAGGAACAGTAGCGAAAAGAAGGGAGATGCCTAGATGAAAAAATATTAGTTAGCTACTACCAAGAACGACCATTGAATAATAGTTTATCAAACTGTTAGATTAGACAAAGAAAGAAAGAAAAGAAACAAAAAAGCAATGCTAGGGATCATATGGATGGTGTCAAGTGAATTAAAAATATTGCAGGACCTATTCCAAGCATATACACACAAGCATGAGTTAAAACAAGTAGATACCAAAAACATGACAAGCCAGAAAATAATACTATCCTATATATTAGACAGTAGATCCGCATAATCAATGGCCACTAGTAACAGAAACATTTAAAACAGAAACACTGTACAACGGCCACTTTTGCATTGTTATGACAAAAGAGGTTGCCAAGGACCTCAAGTAAATTGATACTGGAACTTACCCAATCCACTTGAAGATAACTTCAGGTCTTCGTGTGAATATAGAACTGCTCAGTCCTTGAGGAACTGAGTTGTTTATTTCAATTGCCTCGTTTAGAGTCTGTATGGTAGCAGCAGGTGCATGAAGTCAGAGTTGGTTAGCAAGACGATCTTGTTAAGAATTAAATGACAGAGAGAGATTTTGCGACCTAAACCAAATTCCATGATGAATTTAACTTGCTACCTGGAATTTCATTACATACAGGACAGGACCAAACAACTCCTCTTTAACTACTGGTGCATTTGATGAAATCTCAACAATTGCAGGTTGAACAAAGTTTCCCTCAGATTCAACAACAGACCCTCCAAAGAGAAATTTCCCACCCTGCACAAATTTCGCATACCTGTTAAGCAACAAATATAGCCATAGAGAAGAAAAGTTCTATGGACAACCAGTGATTTTCCACTTACAAGAAATATTAAGAATGTTACTAATTAGATCTTGTTTATCTTGGTAAAACTATGACAAGAATAACTTTTCTCGATAGTCATAACCTTTTTCTGAAATTATTACTACTATTCCACTCATGATGCAAATCCCTTTGCTGATTGAAGTTTGAGAGGATTAGTCTTCTGACTGACCAGATTAGAGGCTGCTAAGTTCGAAGGAGCAACTTTAGTTGGCATCATCCCAAGATAACAGAATGGTTTGTGATGTTGTCAAAAGATGACAGCAGTTCTATATTTGTTGTGACAATGGAAATAGGTCAAAGGGATAAAGTAGTATGGCAGAAAAGAGAAGGAAAAGAAAATTAAACAGATGAAGAGGAAAAGAGAAGAGCCAGTGGCCTTTTCTTTTTCATTGAATCCAGAGAAAAAAAATTTGAGGTTCTCAAATCCATTTCCTCTCCCAAGAAAAAATGTATACAGAAACAATATTATCCTAATTCTGCAATATCTGATATATATCCAGATTTTTCCCACATTTATTATTAGATGTATTTTAACCCTAGTTGGGATTCTAACCCTAGATGGCCCCAAATTACTGAACTGATATTTATGTCAGTTCAACACATTAAAAATAGAAAGTTTCATGCTGACGTATTTCTGCTTCAAGCCAGAAAATGACTAGGATCTCATAAGCAGAAGAATATATGTCTAAAGCCTGTTCACTAGCATTTGCAAATCCCAAGAGCTGAACTACAATTCGAGTGACACAATGATCAGACAAGGAACACATGACTAACAGAATTATAAATCATAATTATCAGGCTGGTCGTGAGGACAAGTCAATGGACTTTTGCCGTCAAGTCACTGATGAGGTTGCCTGAGTTTTTTGTTCTCAATGAAATCAACCAATATTCTCTGATGTTAAAAGCTCATCATTCAGCATAACAATGACAGCTAAAAAAGGAAACAGGTACAAATCCTAAATCGAAAGTAATTAAGAACACAACATGATACTGTTTCCCTAGTTTTTTGTCAGTCAAGAGATCTCCTTTCAAAATATGGTGTCAGCATTTCCTGAAAGCCTTGGCAATGAGAAAATTGCAGGTTGAATCATTTAAGGTTGTACCATGATATTATAAACTATCATGGATAGGCTAGGTTGCTCTTTACCAGAATAACAGCAAAGTTTTATGTATTTTTAAATGATGACTAATTGACTCAATAGCTCAGTTACAATTACTGAAATGCTATTACAAAACCCTTCATTCTAAAATTCTGCTTCTGTTTCTTGTCACAATTCGGTAAATCATGAACAAATTTCTGTTAGCAATATGTTTGAACACTCTAGACCACAAATAGAAATGTCCTTAGCAACTGGGAAACCTAGCGACTCAAATGGCACAGAAAATGCCACAGGCACCATTCTTCAGATGTTATACACTTAGGACACTAATGAAATACACCAACAAAAGAGCTTGATGATGAGTGATCAGAAGAAAACATATCCTTAGATAAAAGAGAACTAACCTGTTCTTTGATGGCTTGGATACCTTTCACAAAGTTTTCCTTTGAGGTAGGAGTGTGTAATGGCCCCAGTAAGGTTCCTTTCTCCAACGGATCCCCAATTTTGACTTGCTTATATACTTCAACCAGTCGATCAAGTACAGTGTGATATATACTTTCATGGACAAGCTACACAAAAGACCCATTCAAATTAGATTCAATTTAGAACGACTCGAATAAAATCAACTGAAAAGCCAAAAATACTACAAAGAGAAGCTGAATTTTGTTTACCAGCCTACGACATGTGGTGCACCGTTGTCCAGCTGTACCAACAGCAGCAAACAGAACAGAACGTACAGCTAGCTGAATGTCGGCATCATCCATGACAATTATAGCATTATTTCCACTAAGTTCAAGCAGGCATTTACCAAATCTTCTATTGACATTCTGTTGAACCATCAGCCCAACCTGCATTTGAAGATGCGGTAATATTCCAAAGTACAAACCACATAATAAAAAGAATTGCCCTGCTCAACCAAATGTATAAGACTGAACATAATAACACAAAGAAAATTAACATAAATAAAGAAGATGATGGCTGAGAACAGAAATGTAAATGGAACATATGTTAATTTGAGCAAAATTATTACAGCATAGTGATAAATAAAGTGATGGCCTCTGTTAGTACATGCATTGACCATCCTCAAGGGAAATATGACTTTTATTCACTATGAAGCAAAGAAGGGAAATATAGATACCACATAAACCAGAACTGCTAACTTAAGAGAACGAAAACTACAAAAAAATTAAGAAGAAAAGGCCTATTGACAAAGAATGTGATCATAGTTAACAAGTTTTAGAGTGAAGGACAACATTTCAGGGAGAAACACCTACTGTGGCAAATTTGATGGACATGATAGATTGAGGTGTAAGTATTAACCGTATCCTAATCCATTTAATTCACTAAACCAAAAATTAATTTTAAACCCACAATGAGAGATTAAATATACATAAAATTCTAAATAAATATTCTCTGCCATAATGTTGTCAGTTAAAGAAATATCATCACAATATCAGCACACGGTACCTTGGAGCTTCCAGTGAATGAGACTAGAGGTATCCGTGTGTCACAAGCTATTGCTTCACCAATTTCAGCGCCTCCACAAAATGACGTGAAAATTGCACCTGGTAAATTGTTCTTCTCTATAACTCCGGCAACTATCTCAGTCATTGCAATAGTGACCAACGGGGTTGTTGGAGCACCTTTCCTGAGAAACAACCAATAAACTATTTTATAGCATAATTGAAATTTTGAAATAGACTTAAGAGTTTTATCTAAGTAGTGGTAATTTTAGCTCTTTCATAGTTGATTTCAAATTAAACAGAACCTAATGCATCAAATCTTAGCATACAGAATCTTCCAAGAGAACCAAAATTGCAATAACCATTAGCACAGTACCAACCAGAAATATGGTTGCTCCAAAGGGTTAATGTTGTTCTTTGGTTGATTTTAAAATCAGCATCAAATTTGCAATCCACTCAAATGGGAATTGGAATTGTAAAATCCCTTAACATGTTTGGTTCAGTTATGGAATGAAAGTCAGCATCAAAACTAACACTGAATATGTAGTTATATGTCATAAAAATGCTATAGATATTGTTAATATAATTTATATTGTTATTGTAATTTTTATATTTCATTTAATTTTTACTAATTTTATACTACTTAATATCTATGGCATATATACTTTTTAAAAATATTTCATATAATTTATATATTATATTGTTAATGTTTCTTCATACTTTTAATTTTTCATAATTTATTATATAACAAAAATGTTATGTGATAGTCAAAAAAACTAATGTCCACCTTTCAGTTTATAGGAAAAGAAAATGTTCTACAAGCTGACAAGTAAGCCACAAAGGTCCTTCAACAAGAAGCTTAGAAGGTAAGCCTTTCATCTTATATAGTCCAGCAAAGTTTATTGTTTGGAATGCAAATAAGCCATAATTTTCTTGCACCTACTAATTTAGCCTATCAAATGATGCAAGTGTCTAAGGACTCACCAAACAACACAGTTGCCACAGACCAGTGCGATGCAAGCATTCCATCCTAAAGTATCAAGGAAAAGAGTCATTATAATAGGTTCAATCTTAAAATTACAGGACGATGACAAGCTGAAAGTTCAAAAAGAACAAGATCATCAATTACTAAATTATTGTTCTAAGTTCAAAATTCAAATATTTATGGATGAATTTTCATATTTATGTTTTGTGTCTAAATAAAAAGTATTTTAGTTCCTGCTTTTGAATTGTACTGATACCTCAGAGTCTATTTTGAAAATCTCTTTAATCAGAACAGAAATTTGGCCAACAGGTTTGTGTTTGGAGAGTTTTATATGACTTTAGTTAGGATATTACAGGACCATGAACTTTCCAAACAATAGTCTTCTCCAGTAAGTTAGATTCATAATCATTAAAATTCGGGTCTAAGAGAACCTTATAATAGAATCCTTAGGCTAAAAAACAATGGTAATATGTGATGGATCATTAACAATAAATAAGAATTTTCAGGGATGGTTGGCGCTCTTCTCATTTTTCCTTTAATTATAGAATATACTTGATTTTACTTTACGATTTCTTCCCTAACCGTACTGCTGACATCCTGCAAATCGGCCGTTCTCCTAAGATCGTGATTCCCTGTTCTTTCTATCTTGCAGTTCATTTGGATTATGCACAAAATCATATATCCAGCCTATGCCATTTTGTCTCTTGAAATTGCTGCTTTAGTTTCAAATAACAATATACTGTAGAAGATCCAGTAGAATCTTACCGAGCACCGCACATGGGAAATTGAAAGCAGTAATGACACCCACTATTCCAAGAGGATTCCACACCTAAATTACATGAAGCATGCATACAACTTTTGTGAATATCAAACGCATATGTGCCATCAGATTAGAAGAAACGAATTGAATGGTAAGTTGTTTTACACCTCCAGCATCATATGATTGGGACCTGTAAACACAGAAAACATGAAAGAATCCATTTAACTAGAGAACATAGGACAAAAAAGCATGTAACCACGTAATCACAGATCTAATTTATAGCTGATACTAGATGCCGTCAGAGAAATCTTATGCTAAGACAACTTTAATGATCTAAGCAGCAAGGAGGAGAGGATATTAGACATAAATGTTGTTTATGTTTCTGACCATAATAGAACCATAGGAAAGTAATAATAACACAGGAAACATTTTTTCATTATGATATCACTGAAATAATATCAAAGTACCAAACATGAACCACACTGAAAACAATCACCATACTTCATATAACAGCATTATAAGAAACTGATATGTGATTGCAGCATCATATTTTACATAATTGGGTTAAGCTGACATAGATTCACAAATTAGACCAACATACTGCGACTTGGATAAAACCATCATGGTAGGATTGAAAGGTAGGAACATTATGCTATACGTTGCAATATTAAAATGCACAAATAAGCATACTCTTAGACTTTAGTAGAAATATTAAATATCATAATATTTTATATAATTGAGTTAATATAGATTCACAGATTGGACCATGATATTGTGACTTGGATGAAACCATTATAGAAAATTAATAGTTCAGAACATCATGCTACATATTGCAATACCAAAATGCATAAATAGTCATACTCTTAGCCTTAGCAGTAGTACCAAAAGTATCAAAGACCACCTAGTTGCTGTTAAAATGTAGATCGAAACTTAGTGATCAAATTATATGAACCAAAGCTCAGTGCAACAATATAATTGCTTGAGAATATATAAGAAAGACATTTATGAAAACTAATGTCAAGTACATCAATGAATCATTATATGATTGTGCTCATGCTGAAAAGTGATGGAATATGGCACAGAAGACACCAAATTTCTAAACCTAAGACACAAAGAACTCAACAAGGAAATTAGAAGTAGAAGCATGATCTTACGTTCCGATGGTATGACAGATCCATTTAGCTGCCGACTTAACCCAACAGCATAGTCACACATGTCAATAATTTCCTGTATAAAAGGTCCAAATGATAATCAAGCATGTAGTGGTTCTCACTATCCAAAATGCAAACATCAAATGGCTCGAGGTACAAGAGTACTGTAGAAAAATGTCTTACTTGAACTTCTCCAATCCCTTCAGGAAGAATTTTCCCCATCTCAAGCGAGACAAGCCTACCAAGGTATTGGAGCTTTCCTCTTAATGCTTCACCAATCTGTCTAACAATTTCTCCCCTTTTGGGAGCTGGAACCTGGAACAACAATTGATGAATTGCATTAGAACAAAAAAAGAATGTAAGAGATCAGTTGGGATACCAGGAATATCAGCGGTGTTCAAGCAGGTACTTCCTCTTGTATGATAGATAACATCCACAAAATAATCATACTTGAGTGGAAAGGGACACCACTTTTGATATGCCAACACCCAAATATAGATGCATTTAAGATTAGAGCCATTAACAAAACCAATATAGCAATCAGACTCATTTAACTGCTACTATGTACCAAAAAAACACCAAAAATAACAAATAATTTAAAAATAAAAGAGTATACGAACTCCTGAGACTCTTTACCTTGTACGATGCAGTGTAACATCATCGGTGGTCATAGTTAGAAAATTGCAAGAATTAATTAATAACAGAATATGACGAGACTTAATAGGACGAAAACCACAACAGAAAATCTAAAGATGTTTGATCACAAAAAGAGAATTACCAAACACATTAAACACACTTTCTAAAGAGCATTGCCATTCTTAAGCATTTTGTTACTGCAAATGGACATAACCAGTCCAGTAGTATTTTGCTCTCACCGTCTACCATTCTGTCCATCCCATCCATATGACACATCATTCTTTTTTCCTTTTCGTCTCGATTCCAGGGATCATTCTAACCTTATGCGGAAAAAAAGAGCCAAAAATTGGACTCGAAATCAATCCAACGACAATCTGCAAAATAATGGGAAGCCCTCTGACCTGCATCCATATCTTGGCGGCCTCCGCGCAAGCCCGCAAACCCTCCTCGTAATCCTGAATCGACGCCTCCATCACCTCCGCGATCACCTAAATCAAGAAACGCAGCCTCGAGATTAAGCACAAACAATCAATCCGCACCCGATCGGAACCAACGGAACCGAGCTCTTGATCGATCAAATCCAGAAAGTCAGGGCGAGGATCAACAAGGATGTGGAGAGAGAGAGAGAGAGAGACAGAGGAGGGGGGGCTCGCCTGGTTGTCGGCGGGGTTGAGGGAGGCGACGACTGGTCCGCCGCCAGTCCAAGCTCCGTTCACGTAGCATCCGGGGTTGCGGGGCCCCAGGCCGAGCTCGGAGAGGAACTCGTACCCCTTCCTCCCAAATCCCCCCATCTCGATCTACTCTCCTCTCCTCTCTCTCTCTCTCTCTCTCTCTCTCTGAACTGGTTGCGGGAGGCTTCCTTAAATAGGGCTCGCTGGCTCACTCTCCGATAATGTGAAGACCAAGCAACAGAGGGGGGCAGTGTGGGGTGTAAGAGACACGTGGCAGCTTCGCCACGCTGTGATTTTAGTCATCCGTTGCTTGATAATGATAATAAGTTGTGAGAGGGAATAAATTCTACGGCGCCCCCATCCATATTCCTTTTTAACCGGGAGCGCATTTTTTCTTTATAATTCCAAAAAATATCTTTATAATTCCAAATCGCAAGGATTGGTTTAGTTCGATCTCGGCCTCGGTCCAAATCGATTTGATTCGGATCAGATCATTCAAAATAAATTTGAATCCGGTTCTAATCAAAATCTAAGAAAATCATATAAGGATTCGTGGAAATAAGGACATTCACAATGACCACCTCGCAAGATGTTGATGATAGCTACAGTACAACTCTGTTATTCAACTAGTCACGAAGGTTGAATAGATTGATTCGTCAATGATGATCGATACAAATAACTACGTTGATCGTAAAGTTTTAATGCTTAACCTAATGCCAGTGATGGCAAACAATTAGAAGATCTTTTTTCAATCAACGGCTATGACCATAGCCATGACAACTTATGACTAATGATGACAAATAACCCCATGTATTGTCGGTAGGAAGGTAACATTCATCTCTTGCTCCGTCGCCAACAACGATCATAACCTTTCTTGCTCGAACAACAACTTGTTAACGGGATGATGGTGCCACCACCAACGTTGAGGCCCAACTATTACCATGCAACAAGAAACTAAGGCTCATTGTTTCCTTGCTTTTTGTTAAAGATTGTGACAATGATAACATCGTCACGATAAATATTAAATATTTATTTAATTGAAGAAGAAAATAGAATACATGAAGCTTGAAACCAAACACTATAAAAAAAAGAAGGGAAATTTACATATATAAATAAATGTCATTTTCATACACACAAATTTACATATATCAAAGATTATAAGAACAGAGGTATTGTTGAATCCTCACCATCACGATCCAGAATTGGATTGAGCTTTGAATACTACCAAAGTGAGGCGGATGCTCTCTATCCTCCTCGCTGTACATCTTATCTGAAGATATGCATATCAGAGACGTGATTGCTTTGACCTCTGCTCGCAGCTAAGCAAATCTTTTCCACCACGCCACTGCTTCTTCCTGCCAAATTCTTGGAAGGAAACCATTACAGACCTCTTCGTCTCCGAATCTTATCTTTCACTGCCAAACTCGCTCACGTCTCCTACTCAGATGACGGGTGGATCAGTCGCCAATATGTTTTCTTTCTCTGTTCTTGTTCTTAGTATGTTGTGATCTAAAACCTATGTGGAAAATTCACGAACGAGTTAGAAGCCAATTTTTAGCCCATTGACATTAAGGTCAACGTCTCAAGGAAGTTTGGAGAAATAGGATTTATCTTTAAGATCATAATGGTCCAATATATTTGATAAGATCATAAACAAATACTCATTCACATTTGCAGTGTAAGTGGCAAAAATGATGAATACAGAAAAGGTTCCTCTTTAGCTAGGAGATGTGCTTTCCTATTATCCTCCTTAGGGATGTGAATAGTTTTAATGATAATAACTAAATTGGATAATCTATGAATGTCCAGAAACAAATAGTGAATATATATATTCCTTAAATTATTAAAATATCTTAATATATATCCATCTCAAAAAATTAACAACATGTAACTATGATTAGTATTAGCTG